GGAGGTGGGTGCAGTGGGCACAGACCCGCCCTCATCAGCTGGCTGAAAGCAGCCGTCTAGAGAAAAGAGCAGTCATGCCACCTCCGAGCCTCCTTCCAGGCGCTGGAGGCAAGCATCGCCGAGTTCAGAGGCACCCACGCACCGCGGACGCAGGACTGCGCCCGGATCCGTGCCTCACTGCATGTACAAACGGCGGTTGAAGCCCCAGCGGGGAGGGTGTTTAAGGACTGACTGCACAGGCACATGGCCGGCACGTCAGGAACAGAGCTGGTTGGGGCTGGGGTCAGACTAGATGGCCCAGGAGACCCCTTCTGACTCGCTCTGTTTCTGTGTTTCCAAGTCCCTTTCCTAGTCTCCGCGTCTGCAAGGCAGACCAAGCTTAATTTTGACTTAGGGTGCTGCTTGAATAGGGTGTTTGACCAGTTCATTAGTTGATCCAGCATGCGCTTTGCAACCAATGAATGGTCTAAATATATCCGTACGTTCTCAACCTCCATATAGATCCTTCTTGTCACCGGAAGCCAAGATGCACTAACTGGCCATTTGTTAAGCAGAAGCTGTCATGCAGAGTTAAAAGGAAGAGCCATCTTTAATCCTCGGTTACAGTCAGAGCCAGCAGAGTTTCAAACTGCACAATAAAATTTACCCCCAGCACTTCCAAAAGGCCTCGAATCAATTCGGTTCTGGTTGACAGAGCCACTGCTCAGCTTGATTGAAGCTCTCACTCCCAGGGACTTGGTAGGAGGGCTGGTAAATAGTCACATGTTCCGTTTCCAGGGTGCAACTGGCAATTTCCAATTGTGTGACTATCCATCTCATTTGGCTCTTTCCCTGTCACTTCTGCCTTGCCGCATTCGTCACCGGTAAGCCCACGCCTGGCTTCGGGAACCGAGCAGCGATCGTCTCACTGGACATCGGCGAGCGAATGTGCAGGCCGGCCCAGTCGTGTCACGGAGGGCGAGGGCAAGTGAGAGCAAGTGAGGGAAATTTAAACGATCCTCTTTGCCGCAGGGGCAAGAAGGATGGCCTGGCCAGGGAGGTGTACTTAGGGGCACTGCCAGAAATGTCCTTGGAAAACAGCCCGGAGCTTAACTAAGCCTACAAAATTTGTGTCTCTCTGCAGTGCAATGCTCGCAGCAGATTCTTCTCTCACCTGTATTGCTGCTGAAAATGGGGGACGCTCTCCCATATGCAGCGCACATACCCATGTGGTGTGGAATTGCCTTTTGCCCTAGCAGTGGGTAGACCCACACGTGCTCGTCATGTCCACCCTCCCCTGTCAGCCTCTTGCCGTGCCAAGTCACGTAACTAACTTGCGGCAGCATGAGGACCCTGGGAGCAGAATCCTAGGATGCTAGAATAGTAGAGTTGGAAGGGGCCATGAAGGCCATCAAGTCCACCCCCTGCTGTTGCAGGACACCACGTTACAGCATCCCACTCAGAGGGCTGCCCAGTTTCTCCTTGAATGCCTCCAGTGTGGGAGAGCCCCCCGCCTCTCCAGGCAGCTGGTTCCCCTGTCGTGTTGCTCTGACAGTGAGGAAGCTCTTCCTGATGTCCAGCCTGGATCTGGGTTGCTGCAGCTTGACTTGATTATTCCGTGTCCTGCACTCTGCCATCAGCAAGAAGAGATCTTGACCTTCCTCTTTGTGGCAGCCTTTGAGGGACTTCTAGAGGGATACCTTGTCCCCCCGCAGTCTTCCCTTCTCAAGGCTGAACATGCCAGTTCCCTCAGTCCCTCCTCACAAGGCAGAGTTTCCAAACCCTGGGTTATTTTTTTGCCCTCCGCTGGACCTTTTCTAATTTACTGCATCTTTCTTAAATCTTGGTGCCCAGAACTGGACATAGTATTCCAGATGGGGTCTGACTAGTGAGGAGTATGGAGGAACTACTACTTCTCGTGATTTGGAAGTAATACTTCTGTTAATGCATCCCAAAATAGCATTTGTCCTTTTGGTGGCCGCATCACATTGTTGGCTCATGTTTAGCCTAATGTCCACAATTACTCCGAGATCTTTTTCTTCCTCAGTTCTGTTGAGAATAATTTGAGAGAAATGGACATTAGGGCTTCTTTCAATTAAAAGGGAAAGCACTGTAGTGGTAATGACACTACATTGCTTTTGTCTGCAAGGAAAATTATTTTATCACATAAAACATATGTACTGAAAGTTGTTTCCATATATTAGGGGGGTCAAACTTCTTTTGGCTCAAGGGTCCAGTGCATCTCCACTCAAGTCCAGAACCTAAAGTTACCTGCTTCATACGTGTGCTGTTTATTATTCTTTAATGGCATCTGTGAAATCTTAAACACCCAAAGAAATCATTGCAGTCCAATATATGGACTAAATATCCAGGGAATATTCAGCTTTGGTGTTACAGAGCAGTACCCATTCTTCTTTTCCCCCACAATTGCTAACTCACATCATGTTTTTGTGGCGGTCTTAAATAGTTTGAGCTGCCCACTTGATTTGGTTTTCTTGAACCAGGTAAAATTTTGAGGAGTGTGTACTTCAGTGATGATTAAAGACTGTTCCAGTACAAAATTTATCAGTGTAATAACCTCCACCCCAAAAGAGGCAACTGGGCATTGCAAAAACATTTTAATGAAGCAATTAAATTACTCCCTTTAACCACTGGCAATTACCAGCCAAGAATCTCTTATTAAAGATCTTTTGTCATATCCCTGATTCATATGCAGATCCCTTATTCAATAGAATAGAATGTCCAATAGAAAGGAAACAAATTTTCCCTGCAGTTAATGCAGCTCAGAGCCATAGCTTTGATAGGCAGATGCCAAAGCTGCCATCTTCTGATTTGGCATCGAGCGGTGCTGCCCACAGGAATTTCTCCAGTTCCCAAAATGTGCCCCCAAATGTCAAGTACCCCATCCCATCATGTTTCTAGACCTCATGGGTTGCTATGGCCATCCATTGTGTGCAATGCACTTTTAGGCATGCCTACTCAGAAGAACACCCCATTGAGTTGAATGGGAGTAGCAGGGGCCCGAGGCTCTGGCTTGGGGGTTCCAGGCTGGCCACCTGGCGTGCCCTCTGCAGGGAGGAAAGCACTCAGGCCAAGATGCCTGCCATACACTTAGCTGGGGGAGGGCATTGACCTCGATGGGGCCTGTTTCTAAGGAGGCGTGTGAACTGTGAACTGAGGCAAGGGTTTCCCCCCCGGGATACAGGGCCCGGAAGCAATGCCCAGCCTCGTATCCTTCCAGCTCCACATCGCCCTCCCACTTACATGACATTTCTTCCTAGGGCGCTTCTGTCTTCTTATTCTTTTTTTTAAACTTCAGCTGTTTAGTCATTTTCTTAATTAAATATAGATTATGGCTCTGGGACTAAGAGAGGATTATTTATTCATGAGCGAGTTAGACTTTTTTTTCAAGTCTTCACAGTGGGTGGATTATTTTATGACTGGCTTTGCAGCTATTGGAAGGGCTAGCGTTAAAATCCCCCTCAATCCCACGGGGATTCAAGCCCCACCCCTCAGCCCCGCACGCCCAGCCCGAATCTGCCGGAGGGGCGTAATCGCGCTGGCTGACCGTTCAGAGCTGCAGGCTGGGGAAATGGTAAGGGGAGGACCACCAGGGCTGTAGCCCCGGACTTTCCTCTGGAGCCCCAAAACTCTGGCAGGCCAGCTGTTCGATCCCGCAGCTGCCCATGGGCACCTGTTGAAACACAGGTGCGCTCCACCAAGCTGAGGTGTCGTCCTTGGTTTCCACGCAGGGACGAAGGCGCATCTTAGATGGGGCTGAGGATTTTCCCAGGAGGGGCACGGAGGGAGCAGGAAGGTGGCCTGCAGAGCATCAGAGATGGACCCGGTCCATCTAGACCAGCATTGTTCTCACACCATGGCCAACTGCCTGCCCAGAAGAACCCACACACAGGGCATGAATGCAGCCGCGCTCCTGGAACCACCATTTAACTCTGCACCGTATGAAGAACTCCTTCCTTCTATCCGTCCTGAATTGCCCCTCCTTCCCATCAGCTTCATGGGACACCCTTTTTGTGTTTTGGGGATGGGAGGGAGGGAGAGATGGGGATGCGGGGGCTCTGCATGGCCCCAAATGCCTCGGGTAGGCGCTGAAATGCCCAGCTGCGTTGCTGACAGCCCGGCGTAATTCTGGGAAGAGCTGCTCCGTGGGGATTCCCTGGGCTTTGCTGAGCAGTGGGAACAGGCTTGGCTGAAGGTCGAATGACAGGTTGTGCAGTCGGCACTTTCACACCGATGGTCAGGAAGCAGCTCGCTTTCACAAAAGTATTGGTTTGTGTGTGTGTGTGTGTGTGTGTGTGTGTGTGCACGCGCGGGGGACCGGGGGGGGGGATCCAGATTAGGGCCACGGCAAACACCCCCCACCAAAAACAGGGCATTAACCCTTTCCTCCCCATACCTTTCCTTGCTGCAAATCGTCTCCTGCCCTGTTTTGTCTCCGTCGGGTTGCTCCCCGTCAGGCCTCCTATCTCATTTCTGAACAAACCGACCCGAAACACAATAATTTGTCTTCTCAGGGGAGCTGCTCCAACCCACAGATGAGGCTGACTGTTCTCCTCTGCACCTTTTCCAGCTCTGTAATGCCAGAGGAACGCAGGACGCTGCTGCACCCCAAATCGGGCCGCTGGTCCCTCTTGCCCAGTCCTGTCCTTAGGTCAGTCGCTTTCCAGGTTGCAGGCAAGAAGGCGTCCAGCTCTCCTTGCAGGTGGGGTGACCAGCCCTTCCTTCTGTGTTGGGGCCTCCCACCACCCATGGCTTGCCTCGCCCGCTTTAGGTGAGGTTCTGCAATGCTGCAGAAAAGAGCTCTCCACCCACTGTTGTGGCAGAAGCTACCCCAGATCTGGAACTGCCCCAGTGACCCACCCCGCACTCTCTTTGGTGCAGGAAGCACTGCTCTTGGGGCCCCTTTGGGCCACTGGTCAGTAGCCCTGGGCAGCCACGAGCTGGAACAACCAGGAAACCCCAAACGGCGCGACTGAGGCTCCCGGGCAGAGTCATCCTCGCTCAGCACAGCTGGGGGAGTGAAGTCTCCAGCTGACTCAGCGCCCGCTGCAGAATCACGGCAGCCAGGGACACGCCAACCCTACCGGGAACCATTATCGTCTCTCCCGCACTCAGCTTTCTCTTCTTCCGGTCTGGTGGACATGGAAGCAAATCACCAGTGAACGCCCTTCTCCTCCTCCACTGCTTCGGTGACGGGCAGATATCCTGGCATGCCGGTATTCCACATCTGTTCCCGGGACAATCCCCGGTGCCCCATTGCATTTCCGTGCATGCTTTCTGGGGGCGCCCCTTCCTTTCCCCTTCATGCGTCCCCTCATGGGCTTGTTCAGGGGCACCGTGCAGTGGGAGCCAGTGGTTAGAAGTCTGGACTGGAGCTTGGGGCGTCTGGGTTCTAGTCCCCACCGCTTAGCCCAGTCTACCTCGCAGAGTCGTTGTGAAGATTAAATGCAGGGGAAGAGGCTCATGTACACCACCTGAGGCTCCCTGGAGGAAAAGCAGGATATGAATGTATCAAATAAACAATGAAGATTAATCAAAGAGCTGCTCAGCACCTAACCTGGTCGGCCTTAGCATGTCGCAGACTCTGGAACCAGGCAAGCTCCCACAACTGAGGGATTATCAGCTGATGATCTTGCAAAACCCCCTGCTTGTTTTTCGAGGGGAGTCAGTGACTATTCCAACCAAGGTCTCCTGGCTGAGGCTGATGGGAGCTGGAGTCCCACAACACCTGGAGGGCCACGAGTGAGCTATTCTTGTCTTAAATCGCTGCCCTCGTAGCGGCATAGCTCCTTTTTCTGACCGTACCATCCGGTTTGGTGCTTCTAAGCAGCCTTTCGCACAGAGTCGTCATATGTGGAATGTTTGCTCACCTGTTTTAGTTTGTTTGTTTATTTATTTATTTTATTAAAACATTTTTAGTTCTGTAGAGCAAAGCCTCAGGAGCACAAGGGCTGTGGCCTGCGGATCAGGCTGGATCGGCCCCTGCAACTGGGGAGGGGGTCATTGTGGCTTGGCTGTTTCCCATATTAAAGAACTTCTCCTTGAACGGGGACGAGCATCGAGCCTCGCTTCTCGGACAGCCTTCTCAATGCAGCAGGACTCTCCAAGCCCCTCGCATGGAACCTGAAGCTTCAGGGGACCAGATCTGCCTTGCTTATCCTGCCAGTCTCTCTTTCTCCTGGTGGGCAGGTAAACACTTCCTGCATTCATCAGTGACGCCTCACAGCCCCCTTCACACGGCCCCGGTTGTGACTCTGGGGGCTTGCAGCCACAGCAAGAGAGCTGCACCAAGGGGCTGCGGAGCGCAGTCCCTGTGCTCAGACTCCCAGAATGGCCAGCCGCTGCATATTCCCCCAAAATAGGCGTGTTTACAGGGGCGGGGGGAGAATGCACAGACTTGTGCATCTTCCCACACAATCCGCAATCAAATGAAAAGAAAGCGATGACTTGCAAGGGGGTCTGGGCAAATTCCTGGGGGAGGGTAGCCGCAGCTCCTGGCCCTGATGACTCTGTGCTATCTCCTTTGCCAGAGGCACAGTGCCGAGGTGCCCCATTGCTGGGGAACATGGGTGGTGGAGTGTTGTTTCGATTTGCTGTGAGCAGCCAGTCGGCCACCGTGGGAAGAGAAGGCCTGATTAGAGGGACCCTGCCTGACACGGCCTGGCTCCTCTTATTTATTTATTTTATTTATTAAAACATTTTTATGCCGCCCCATTCGCCGAAGCCTTGGGGCGGCTTACAACATAGATAAAACAATAAGTTAAAATCCATATAAAATAATCTTACTTAAAACACACATTATAAAATAAGCCACCCTGGCCAGATAAAATTCAATTGTATTTAGCATTTAAAATGTTGCTTAAATAAAAAGGTCTTAGTCTGGCGCCTCATGAGAAACAGGCTGCATGCAAGTCGAAACAGGAGTGGGCCGAGCTCACCTGTAAGGCGGAGCGCACAGATGTGCTGCCAGGCTGAGCATCCCAGGGTTTTCCGCCACTCACCAGCCGGGCTGCCTGGCGGACAGACTTTGCCTGGTCTGGGCAGCAGAGACCGTGAGCGGCACGTGCCCTGGGTGGCTCACGGTGTGTCCACACCTCAAGGAAGGCAAGCAGCCTTAGCCACGGATTCCGGGCTTCCCTCCAGGTTCAGTTTTGTGCATGCAGAATTCGCTTTTTTGGCACACGGTCGCATCCGCTCCGCTCCACCCGGGAAAGCTCACCTGTGTCCCCACTCACCTCGCAGCTTTCGCTTTGGCTCCTTTGCTGCCCGGCCAATTTTTTTGTGACGAGCTGTGGATTAGTACTCTCCTTCAGATCAATTTGTTTTCCAGTGGTCTTTCGGCTATAATTAATGCTTGCTGTATAATTACATTGATTTTTTTTTATGTACTCTGAAAGATGAGAGGAATTTATAGAGCGGGCTCGGAACGGCGAGGTAGACAACTGCTGATATTGCAAAGTGAAAAATGCCAGGCCCGGCCCTCGGACATGACCGGGGAGGGGGACACGTCCCGGCAGCTGACCCCAGAGGCGGGAGGTGAGGAAGCAGATATCCAGAGAGAGGGAGGGGGCCATGAAGAGGTGTGGGGGCTACTCCAGGCAGCATGGAGGGGAGACGGGGCATTCGATGCTCAAACTAGTCCATGCTTAAAGGGAAGGGGCAGAACCCCCCTGGTGCCGGAGCCTTTTCTGCCAACGGCAAGCCTTGACTTACAGTTTTTAGAAAACTGTGGGAAACCAGTTTGGCTTTCACTGGGGCAAGAAAGGGAAGGAGCACGTCATTTTCAGACTCTGAGCCCCAAAGGCTCCTGCTGAAGGTGAGGGAGAGAAAGGAAAGGCTGTCAAAAGGACAAGGTACCCAATTTTCTCTTTATTGGGGACACGCCCTTGTTTTCGAACAAGCAGCACCTCCAAATATCTGTCCTTCCCCTGCTTTGGGAAATGCCTTTAAAAAGTTGGTGTGGCTGGAGTTGCTCTCCTTCACGGCTGTTTTCCCTCGGCCTTAGGGAGGGAGGTGCCTCATCTCAGCTGCACATACATTCCAGGAAAGCACACGAACGCAAAGGATCCACGCCGTGGTGACTGCCCAATTCTGGAATGGTCTTTCTCCTGCCTGAATTTCCCTCTTGTTCCACTCTGCTCTGCTCTGGACCTGTTTCTAGATTGCAAGCTCTTTGCAGGCAGGGACCTTTCTCCTCCTTTTGGGGGGGGCAAGTGGGAGGCGTAACAACAGCAACAATAATGGGCTAATGCACTGCAGAAAAGTGTGTCTGTGTGGCAGAGGGACCAGAGTGTGGGATGGCGGGACTGGGGATCCAGGTTCTCCGGGTCAGTCACAGACCCTCAGCCCAACCTACTTCACAGGGTTGTTGTGAGCATAAAATGGAGAGGCAGAAGATGCTGTGTGTCACCTCAGGCTCTTTTTAGGAAAAGAACAGGCTGAATGGGAATGCAAGAATTAAATTAAAACCAGACAGAATTATGTCCCCATATAAATGTAATGCAATATAAATGTAGCATATAAATGTTCGGTAATAATAATATCTTTAAAACAGAAGAATCCACAATACCCTGGCCTTTAAATCGTTGGAGAACAGGCATTGCAAAGACAAGACCAAGGCCCTGCAGCAGTGTGTGGGACAGTGGGAGAAACTCAGGTTCTCCTCGTCAGGAAATTGGGAAAATGCACAGGCATTCCTGATTTAATCCAAGAAATGTCGGAGCATGTAGAATCTTCTGGTATGTGATTAGGAAGGCACCCCCTTTCAGCCACTGAAAATCTCCTACTCCTCATCAAGCTTCTGATATTTTACCAGGCACTGGCTCCATACAGCCAAGCCTGTCCTCTCAGCCATGAGTACTAGTAGCTTGATCTCTGTTAAAACTGCGGAGGCTCCGTTGCGCTGTTCCCACTCTCACGTTCTGCCTTCGCCTTCACCCGCTTGCTCTCCTGCAGAATCGAGGCATCCACACAGCCTCTCATCTTCCAGCGGGGGCCTTCCACCCCCTCTCCATTTTTTCCCCATCAAGACCCACAAACCTCGTTCCCAGTGTCCTTTGCCCCGTCTCTTCTTGCGTGTCAAAGAGGGAAGTCTTGGCATCGGCGTTCCGTTCGCTTCTGGGCCTTTCTTCCTGCCAATGGATTCTGCTATCACCGTCCTTACAAAAGAAGGGAAGGAAAGAGAAAGGCTTGCGTCTCGTTTGTGCCACGCGTTAATTACATGCCCTTTGAGTCCCGCGTGCTGCGCTCCAACACACCCCACAAAAGCCCCGTCCCGCCATTCTCTAAGCGGAAGGGCGAAGACAATCGGCTATGAAAAGCGGCCTTTTCGAGCACAGGTGCTACACGGCTGCACAGATGTTACACGTTTTTCAATTAAAGCCCCCTCAATGAAACAAACAAACAAACAAAAATTAATTAGACAAGCTTCTACAACCTGGTGAACACAAAAGGTAGCAACTGCTCATTAGAAGCACACGGGGCCCTTCCCATGCCCAAGTCCCAAACCTGTTGTCTAAACGGGGTGTTTGGCAAACTACCTGGGGAGGGGCGAATCGGAAGGTTTTGGTTTCGTAGGGGCGCATGACTTTTGCTGCTGCTTTCGGCAAGCCCCATGTGGGAGAATGCTGTCCTGCAGCCTGGCTGAAGGGTTAAAGGCACAATCCTATGCCTATTCGGGCAGAGGGAAATGCTCCGACTCACGGGATGGGCTCTTCTTAGGATTGCATCTAAGAAACCTGAGAAGGGACCAAGCCAGGAGGTTCCCGTCCGTGCTTAGCCCCTGGATATCGACCAAACAGGCCATTTCCAGACGGGCTTCCCCACAGTGCTGAGATGCTATGCTTCTTCAGCTGCAGTCAGGCATGTGGGTGCACAGCCGGGAGAAATGAAGTGCGTCACTGATAAAAGACAGCTAATGGGATGTGCACGTGCGAATGCGTCGCTGGGAATGTAGGCAAAACTGCTGTACTTAAGCAAAAACGCACAGGCCCGTCTTAACTCCAGTAGTTACAGCAACCCAATTTCCACATCCTGCTGAATACCTGTGCTTTGTGGCTGAGGCAAGGGAAGGCTGGAGAGGACAGACAGGTAGCTGTAATGCTGACATCCTGATGTACAGATGTACCCTAACCCTGTGCTTTTTCAGGGCTGTCTTAACAGCGTTATGGGCCCTGGGCAAAGCAGTTTACTGGGCCCCCTACTACAATGACAACTACTGCTAATTTTGGAAGTTTTCCAATTTTCCAAGGGTTAACATACACAGATTAGTGTGGGGCCCACAGGCAAGTGCCCACCAGTCCCAAGCGTTAAGACAGCCCTGTGCGTTTTTGCTTAAGTACAGCAGTTTTGTCTACATTTCCAGCGACGCATTCACACGTGCACATTCCATTAGCTGTCTTTTATCAGTGACGCATTTCATTTATTTATTTAGAGAATTTGTATGCCGTCGCATTGCATAGCCTTGGGAACGGCTTACATAAAATAAAAAGGATCCGGTGGGGATGGAGCATCTGGCAGTGATCGGCTGAGCTTTTGTGATCTCACCGAGGGCAGAAGTGCCTGTGACTGCTGTTGGATGAGAAGAGCATGATGGGGTTGGGGCCCTAGACAGGAGCACGTCATTGGGGCCAGGATTCGGGGCGGTGGGGGTGGCGGGGAGGCCTGGATGGTTCAAGGAAAGAGACTCCAGGGCAATGGGAAAAGCTAGCAAGGAAAGGCCGGAAGAACAAAAACTAGGAAAAAGGATGTTTTGGTATTTTATTCTCTTGCTGGTGATTAAGATGCTGAGATGGGTATATTCCTTGTGGCTCTTTTATCTTGGCTGGATTCTACATGGTTTTTGTCTTGATATCCTTTTAGCTCTAATGCTTGTTCTTGACATTTTTAGTTTGTTCTACACTAATTTTGGTGGTGGCAGCAAGTTTAAAAATACAGTAAATACACAAACCATTTGCACTGGGCAATTCTGATCCCAAGGGGGACCTACAGCCGATTATCACATTGTATTTACCTTGCAATGGAAAGGGATCTTTCCCCTTATACTGTTAATATAAGTTACTTTCCCCACCCATTCCCCTTCCATGCCCACCCGGTCGCCAGGACTGAACGTTTGTTCTGGAAGCACAAATCAAAGAGCTTGTGTGGTTACCCTTTTGCCAAGCCCATCACTTTCCATTGTGTGTGAGTGTTTCACATCTATTCAGTCCTAAGATCATTACGGTCAATTTCCATAGCAGTCGGCAAAAAACAAATCACACACACAAGGCTATTTGCATTCATTTGTGTATGCAATTTCCAAACAGGTACACATTTTGAATGCAATTTCCCCTATCGTATGCATGTTCACCCACACATCCCCTTCTGAGTGCATCACAAGACCCAGAAGCGTACGCAACCTGAAGGGTAATTTTGGATCTGTTTGCGGGAAGTGTGGCCCAAAGGAAACTCTGCATAAACAATGCATGAGTCGTTCTCCTGACAATAGCAAAAGCCATTTCTCATGAAAAAAAATTCTTCTTCTTACTTCCACTGCCCCTAAGTAGTTAACCAGTTGCTGTATGGGAGAAAAGTGTTTCATTCAGGAATTCATGAATAACCCACCCAGAGAGCCTTATGGCTAATGAGGCAGGATAAAAATCAAATCAATTAGACAGACAGACAGAGCAGCCTCACCGCATTTCTTTCTCCAACTGGGCAAAAAAGGGCCTTTCACATCACCCAGTCCTTTGAGCAAGAGATCTTGGGGATTCAGCCAGAGACCTTCAGCAGCAAAAGACCTTGTCCACCACCGTATCTCAGGAAGAGAAGTTTTATTTCAACGTTGTTAAAATTCACTCTGCCATGTCTCCCCTCAGAACTCTTTAGCACTGATAAGTAGCTTAAAAATATCTAGAATTCAGAGCATGGAGATCATCTTTGCACTGAGAGTAACCCTTTCTAAGGTAGGCCAGTGTTATCTCCTTGCTGCAGATTCAGATAGGCTGAGTCGAAGAGAAGCTGTGATGGGAAGGTGAGGCTGGGCTCCAGAATCATAGACTCATAGAACTGTGAAGGGGCCAAGAAGGCCATCAAGTCCACCCCCTGCTGTTGCAGGGCACCACATTACAGCATCCCACTCAGGTGGCTGCCCAGTTTCTTCTTGATTGTCTCCAGAGAGGTGGGCTCTCCCACACTCTCCAGGTGTGGGAGAGCCACCACCTCTCCAGGCAGCTGGTCCCACCGTCGTGTTGCTCTGACAGTGAGGACACTTTTCCTGATGTCCAGCCTGAATCTGGGTTGTTGCAACTTGACTTGATTATTCTGTGTCCTACATTCTGGCATTAGCAAGAAGAGATCTTGACCTTCCTCTTTGTGACAGCCTTTGAGGGACTTCTAGAGGGATGCCATGTCCCTGCTCAGTCTTCTCTTCTCAAGGCTGAACATGCCCAGTTCCCTCAGTCTCTCCTCACAGGACAGTGTTCCCAAACCCTGGATTATTTTTGTCACCCTCCGCTGGACTCTTTCTAATTTACCTGCATCTTGGTGCCCGGAACTGGACACAGCACTCCAGATGAGGCCTGACTAGTGAGGAGTATAGAAGAACTGCTACTTCTCGTGATTTGGAAGTAATGCTTTTTTAAATGCATCCCAAAATAGCATTTGCCATTTTGGCGGCTGCATCACATTGTTGGCTCATGTTTAGCCTATTGTCCACAATTACTCCAAGATCTTATTCTTGTTCAGTTCTGCTGAGCCACGTGTTCCCCATCTTATATCGATGCCTTTGGTTTCTTTTTCCTAGGTGGAGGTCTTGCCACTTGTCCTTATTGAAGCTCATTCTGTTTCTTTCAGCCCAGTTTTCCAATTTATCAAGATTGTCCTGGATCTTCATTCTGTCTTCCGGGGTGTTTGCTATTCCACCCAGTTTTGTATCATCTGCGAATCTGATGATCTTTCCTTGTACTTCCTCATCTAAATCATTGCTAAAGATGTTGAAGAGCCTTTCTGAGGGCTGCACTGTGGGTCTGTGCCTCAAGCACCTGCAACCTCCATACCAGGGGCAGGTCACCTGTAGCCTTTCAGCTACTTTGGTCTACCATTCCCATCATCCTTCATCATTGGCTTTGCTGGCTAAAGCAGATGGGAACTGTAAGCCAAAACATGTGGAAGGTCATACGTTCCCCACTTCTGCCCTGTGCTGGAGCAGGGGGACACCCCTCCGTGTAGAAAGCTAGCATGGCAGGTGCACCCTTCTCCCTGCCACCTAGTTTTCTAGGTGCGGGGAGAGGTGGCCTGCAGGAGCAGTCAGCCATGTGAACGCTCCCTCTCCTCGCTTGCAGCCCAAAAATGCACCAAGTGGTGTGTGACTACTCCGAATCGCACGCTCCCTGGCTTGGCCACTTCGCCACTCGGTCCTCGCCGCAGTCGACTCCCGACTGGCTCGCAGAGAAGCCACTTCCTTATCAGAGGCACACAACTGGCATCCATCATCTTAATGCGCTATGACGAGCAAGGCCGTTTTTGCTGAGATAACGCGCTCTTGTTATCGCGCCCGCCAAGCTCAGTGCCAAAAAACCATCGGCTCTCTTCCCTCTTTCCTGTATCAGAGACAGACAACGATCACATTTTGTGCCATCCGCTTTACAAATGGGAAGAAGGAAACGATCAGGGCTCGCGATGCGCGCATCGCACCGCACCGCACTTCTGGGCTCCTGCTCAGTCTCAGACGCCCATGCAAAAAGCCATGGGAAAAGATTCCTGCAGGCGTTACGAGCACGGGATGAGAGGAACGGGTTCGGGATCATGCTGGGCTGGGCTGAGGCCCACAGGGCAAACAAACTCACAAACATGCACGCACCACCGTCCGCATGGTCTAAATTCTCCGTGCACATCGGGCCTCGTCACTGAGGGACACCCCTGTTTGAGAAAAGGGATGTACAGAGAGTAAGGACGTCATACGAAAAATGCTTGGCAGAAAAATTCAAGGGGAGGGCCGCAAGAAGGGAAGCCCCCAGGCCAAATGCTGGCCCACCTGGAGAACTGGATGCCGCCAGCTTCCCAGGGCCCCTGAGCCTTTATTGCTGAAAGTGCCCATGGGCAGTGGGTGGTGTGGCAGATCTGGGCCTCCAAGAAAGATTTCGCTCCCTCCCAGTGGCCCACCCGCTAACACGGCCTCTGTGGAACAGAACATGCCAGGATTCAGTGAGGAGCATCTCTGCTTTTTAAAAACTGCAGGTGGAGGGGTGACCAACAGCCCCCTCCCCACCTTCCTGGAGTTTGAACAATACAGGGCCAGAAGGACCAATGGTTTCACTCAGGATAAGCAGCTTCTGTTCTTTTGCTAGGCGATAAAGGACAGCTCTCTCAACCCTCCATTTTGCTCCCATTAACCACTCAGACAAGAATCCTGGATTTTTGTCTTTCCTTTGAAAGGGTTCGGGCATCTCTCGCCCACTGACTTAAAAGGCAGAAAGCTGAACGTTTGCTTAGGTTTGCTGCCCAACGGGTTGGCACATGCTAAATCCGTTCCCACATTCTACAGCAAGGGCAAACAAGTTGTGCTAAGCAAGAAGCGGTTTGCTTTTGTTTTTTTTTGTTTTTAAACTGTGATGAGATGAAATGTTATGTTCTCAAACTTGTTCAGCCGACGGAATAACTTTAAACATCTCGGGCTGCTCCTTGCTTTCTGAGCGCTGGCAGTTTTGCATCAGTGCTTGTGCCTGCGGTGAACGCTGTAGGCTTCCTTCTTCTGGCCCCAGGCCTCATCCAGCCGTATCCTTGGCAGAGAGAGAAGATGGCATTTCAACAAGCTAATTTTCTGCAGCCTCTGCTCTCCTTCCCGAGTTCTGGTGCTAACCAGTGAAGCTGAAACAGTATGGCTTAAAGAACTGTTCCCCCCTCCCCTTTAAATCATCCTAGTTTTTCTGAACTTTAAATCAAGGAAAAAAGAAGGCAAGATGAGGAGGAATCCTCTCCCGTTTCTCAGGCCCTTCTTAAAGGCTTTGTTGATTTCTCTCTGCCTTGGAATTCCGCAGCACTAAAGACAAGGATAGGCTCCGTGCATGCCGATCGGATGCGGGACCCCGTTTTCAAGCTGGGGGCTCATGGTCAGCCTCTGCTCCACCACCACAATCTGTGCCCAGAGGCGATGTGCAAACCAACTTTGGCACACGTTCAGGCCAGGAGAGCTGCTGCTGAGTCAGCTTGGTGAGAAACTTGGCCTTCTGAAGGAACTGCGGCGCGCGCGCTCGCTCTCTCTCGCTCTCTCTCGCGCGCTCTCTCTCTCTCTCTCTCTCTCTCTCTCTCTCTCTCTCTCTCTCTCTCGCTGCACAGGAACTCAAGCCAAGATCGTACAGATAAATGCAAAGTGAGCAAGACAGTTTTAAATAAAGAACGGCTTCTGGAATACAGGCATCATGATTATCTCTGAATGCCAAAGCCAGACTGGCCATTATGCTAAGGAAGCTATACTGGGGAGTCCAACCAAAGTTTCCAACCAAAGGCATGGACTTTCCCCACTCCGCATCAGGTTCCTTCCCTGCACACTCGTTGTCACACGTGGCACGGGGACGGGTGCCAGGCAGGC